AGCCTTTTTGGAAGTGATTGGAACACCTGATTCTGATTATTTGGATGGGTGAGCGAATACTTTTGGCAATATAGTGTATGTCAAAAGTGAACAGCCCTCTCTCAACAGAGGGGGAGGGATACGGCATTATCTATCTCCAATCTAGAACACAGTTTTTTCAACAGTTCCAAAAAGGCTACACACCCATTTGCATCATTGAGATGACACAGATAAGCCTCGAGGTGACCTTATAAACTTGCTAAAAGAATACAAATGACTAGCTTCCATGTCAAAGATGAAGAAGTTTCTTGCATGAGAAACGAAACATCTTCAAAGAAAAACCAGGAAGTCCGGTTGCCTCTTGAAAAAGCACCTTTGGGACAACCATGACCTGGATAACTGAGAATCTCCAGACAATGTTTAAACTCCTTTCGACTCCTTTACCAACTTTCCGCTGTACTCTACAGTTGTCTAGTGGTGGGTGTTGCTTATTTATAGTGCGCCATCTACTGATATAAAGCTGAAAATCAGTTTGTCTCAGCCTAAGGCAGTTGCAAGATTGTTTAATTGATTATGTGCCGTTGAAGATGGATTAAACAGATTAACAGAGTTGGAGGGACCTTGTAGGTCATCTAATCCAACCCTGGAAGCTTGACCCTACTTAGCTTTTTAAAATTAACTAGATTCTGGGCCTTAAAAGCTCATGAAGCACTTATTTGTGTGCAGACTCCCTAAATTATTGCCAGCTTGCTAGCTTGATTCCATTAATAAACTAATGGAACGTGCAACATGAATTCCCCACCTGTAATATTGGAGTGGATCTTGCTAGAGCAGTCTCCCCAATTTCCCGAGTAAGAATGTAGCCTTGATTATTCCTGAGCAGAATATTTGGAGGGTGTTAGTTTGCAGCTTGAAACCTGATCAAAAAATTCCTGCATTTTTGTAAGGATATGGGTCTCAGTGGAGATCAAATCCTCTCTACATCTTAAACTTTTATGACCGATTTCCTGTGGCTCCCAAGGATATAGGACCTGAGAGCATCAACAGGCCAGAGGGCCCAAGGGAGCAAGCTTCATTCATACTAGCTAGGGCTGTGGCCAAACATGCCCAGTGTTTCATTTCTGAAGCAAGAAATTTTAAGTCTGCTAAATGCCACTTGCTTCTGTAAATTGCCTTGCACTTTATATGCCCATTAGGACAAAGCCGGAGAAAACATATGGGGCAGAGTCTAGCAAAAGGGGAGTTAGAAAGAAGATTGCCTATATATGGCACAAAAAAAACAAACCCTCCGCAAAGTAACATTTCAAAGGGTTGTAAAAGCACACGCAAAAATCTATGAAAGGTTGCCATACTCTTTGTTTGAAATGCATATCCTTTTAAATTTGAAAATTTTAAAGTAATATACAAAACATTCCCAAAACATTCTATTCCCTCCTGTAGATCGTTTATGAAGATTTTGATGAGTACTAGGCCTAAAATGCTGCCTGGGCTACACACTGCTTACTTCCCTCCATGTGGATGTAGGTCTGTTGACAACTACACATTTGAGTAAGATTTGTCAGCCGGTTAGACATTGTGATTGTTCTGGGGTGGGGATTTGGATTAGGTATTGTGATTGCTCTGGGATGGAGTGGGGGTTACAATTTGGCATTGTGATTGCTCTGGGATGCAGTGGGGGTTACAATTTGGCATTGTGATTGCTCTGGGTGGGGTGTGG